AGGAAAATTATTCAACTGCAAATGAGTAAATCGCACACTGGACAATAAAATGCTTAAGAAATCACTCAAAAAGGCTTTAGTTTAAGTAAATATGTGCAAGAAATTTCCTTTTCCATTAGTTGCTGTTTTTCTTTTCGCCCCAGAGGTAAATATTGGCTATTAATAAAACACTTCTGCTTCCATATCCTTGCAGGCAACACGTTCTCGAGTCCGGGCCACTGCACATTTATTTGTTGAGGAGCAGCCGTGTTTTGCATGCTGGCCGGGCAGATAGCCCCGGCGTGAGCACACATCGGGCGGACAAGGATATAGCCGCTGCTGCGGACGCATCGTATACCTACATATATCTCGGCCAAATGTATGCCGGCCGGGCCACACAATTTGCCAAAACCATCAGCAGCATGGCGTGCAGCATACAGAAGCAATCTCCTCAGGCACCGCAATCGGTGGATCCTGGCACTGCCGGAGCAGAGCCACTGGGTCGAGGATTAGGTGGTGGTAGTGGTGGTGGTGGTGGCGGTGGTGGCCCCAGTGGAGCCGGCACCGTTCCCTCCACGCCGAAAACCACCAAGACCGCCCAGCCGAGGGGCTCCCTGCCGACGGATGTCAACCAGCCACCACTGGAATTCCAATGGCCACCGCCCGTGCCCGTTTCGATACACACCAGCAACTTGCGCCTGAACATGATGAACCAGGACCCCAAGGACCTCCACACGGCCAGGGCCATTATCGAGGAGCTGCGCTCCAAGGTGCGATTCCAGACGGAGCACATCATGAAGTGGCGCAAGGCGTATGCCATGCAGGTGATTAGCCAAATACTTTAAGCGTTTTCACCAGCTCACAAGAAAATTTTGTTTTTTTTTATAAAAAAACTTAGAATTAAAAATTCAACATTTTTAAGGCAAGCATATATTTTGTGAAATTTCCATTTAAGAAATTTCCATTTAAGGAGTTTCCATTTAGTTTGCAAGCTATCTTATGAAAAGTATAACTTTCCATTGTCAGATTATACAGAATGTTTTAATTTTGATTGAACATATTAAAGTAATGAAATTTGTTTGCCCCCGGAATTTCTAAAAACAATTAAATATCCTTTTAAAAATTGTTTAGTATTTAAAACCTTACCTTAAATTTCTCCCCAGGTCCAGCAGCACTACCGATACCAGAAGGAGAAGTCGGACCAGATGAACTCGCTCACCTCGCAGCTTCTGCTATTGGAATCCCGACTGAAGCGGAAGCAGAAGCAGATCGCCAGCCTGCTGAACCACCGGGAATTGACCATCCAGCGCCAGCAGAAGATCATCGACACGTTGTCCTCTCGTCTGGTGGATCACGGACTGGAGACCATTGAGGCTAGCTATGCCAATGAGTTGGACTCCCTGAATGACTCCGATTCGGCGGTGGTGCTGGAGGACATCGATTCGGACAGCCCGATGACCTTGGGCACGCGGCGGAAGAGCAGTGGGGCGGGGGGATTGGGTGGCGGAGTGCTGGGCAGCGATGGCATCACCATAGTGCGCTCCATATCCGATGCGATCGAAACGAATCACAACAAGTACGGAGCGGCCAGGCGGAACAACTGCTTCCTGCGACGTCCGGACATCCTGGAAACGGTTTACTCCGTCGAGGAGGATCCCGAACCCACCACGGACGTGGCCGAGAAGCGGGACAAGTTCAAGAACCGCTCGGACAAGGCGCTCAGCTCCAGCTCGACCGAGGGTCAGATAGATGCCGCCAGTCCCTCGGCCGCCGACAAAGCCAAAGAGTCATCGCCCGTCGATGGTGGCGGTCCCAGCATTCCGCGACGCCAACTGGGTGCCCTCAAGCGATCGCCCAGCCACGATTCACCCTGCACCACGCTCAGCGTAAAGGTTCCCCAGCTGCAGCCACCATCTCCTCCACCGCCAACGGCATCTCAAACGCCGGAACCGCTCAATGGAAAGAACCAGGTAATAAAAATAAAAATTTAAGTTTGCGAAGCTTTGAAGTAACGACAAGTTTTTTATTGGCGCTAATTAGCATAGATAAAATAAATATTTTAATTCCTTAAAAAATGGAAAAAAAACACAACTAAATTCTTTATTTTTATTGCTCAAAACTGGGAATGTGTTAACTCTTTGAAATCGTCATCAGAATTGTAATCTACTGGCACTCACAGCTAAACATTTTTAAATTCGACCAATTTCTGCATGAAATCATGATGTAAACCCTGGTAAAAGATTCAACGTTTTGCCAAAAAAATGATTTCTCTAAATCAATTAGGGATAGTTAGTTCAGGTTATCAGCTGCACAAACCTGATTATAATTTTCGCTGTGTGTCTTATTTTGCAAAGGTTACAACAACAAAAAAAACTCTCAAAATATGAGTTTTAATTTAATTAAATTTAAACTTTTGTTTCTAGGTCACCAACTACAATCGGGTTATGCTGAACCATCGGTCAGTGACGAAACCGAAGGACGTGAAGTACAAGCGCATCAACAAGGCGAAATCGAAGAGTCTGGAGGAGTTGCGGGGGCGTCTCAAGAACCTGGTGGAGCGGGCACCTGGCCTGGATGGCGGCTATTCCGGTGGCATGATGCCGCAGACGGCGCAGTCGTATGCGTGACATTGGCAGCGGTCGGACGAGGGAGACTCCCAGAAGAGGTCAACGGCGCAGGAGGAGGTGGAGATGGAGGAGGGGGAGGTGAAAGGTCAGCCGGAGGCGGAGGTTTCTCCGGCGACTACGAGTGTGGGAGCAGCTCGTCCTCGTCGAGAGAGTGCGGAGCCAACGACCTCGACTGCGGCCGCCCAGGAGCCGCAGGCTGGCAGACATGGCTTTCCCAAGAGGTCGTTGACCTTGCCGCGCATCCTGGTGCCCCGCCAGTCGACTGCGGGATTGGCCAGTTCCAGCGGCGGGGGCGGTGGGCGTGGCGGCTTCTAGCAATTAAAGAAATTTTTCATACGCAATTGTGATAAAAAGTAAAAAAAAAAAGAAACATTTCCTTCCTCCGTCTCTGTACTGTACTGTACTGTGTCTACTTCAGTTGCTTTAACATGATTCTCTTTTGTAACATTTGTTTCCTTGACAATTATCCTGAGCTTAGTTTTTGGTAAACTTTGCATTTACTTAAGTTTAGCTTTAGTTTTACAAAACGGAACTGCATTTCGACTTAACATTACACATAATTTCACAAACAAATAAATGATTTATTAAACTTATTTCTGTCTATGATTTTTTCTCCACTTAACAAAAAGCGTATGAAAAATTTCGTCAGCATGTGGTTGAAAACCGTAAGTTACATATTTTACATAAGAAACGGAAATCGTACTCGAGGACAATATTTCCAAAACCCGAAAGTTGAATGGTGAGTAGCTCCAGTCAGTCCCAGAATTGTTGGTGAAAATAGGATAGAATGGATATTACAAAAATTTACTCAAGGTATTACTACATAATAGTTAAGAATAAATACTTAGTTTTAAGCAAAATGTTACTAGTATTATATTTTCCGCAACACTTAAGAGCTTCTCTCAGCTGTTCTACTATATACACATATTCAATTCTCTATTGATATTCAACCTAGCTGTAAGCTCTACTCCATGGACTGTCTTCTAGATAACAGAATTTACAATTGATCATAAATATAAATGAGTATATTTTCATACTAACTATTACTAGCTATTTTTAAAATATTTAATAACTTTAATTAGCATAAGAAAAGGAAAAAAACACATTTTATTTTTGCATTTTATGAAGATTATTTTGTAACTTGTTATCGACTATTGGGGTCTCAGCTACCCCAATGTCCTAAATGTCAGATGTACCTTGAAAACTCGTAAAATTATTGTAAAGATTAAAAACTAAAACCAGAATTAATATTAGAAAATGAGTTAGAATCCACTTTGGTGTGAACTTTGACAATGGCTGCTATCAGGTCTCAATTATGAAAATTATGAAAAATAAAAATGTTTGAAATACAAATATCAAGTAATATCAATGTGCAACTCGGTGTTTCAGTGGATGTCCTATAGCAACAATGTGTACCTATGTGTGTTACTTCAAAATGCAGATTTACACTTTAAATGATTAAATTTCCAGAATCGTACTATAAGAATATTCATACGTAATGTTAATAAATGCTATAGAAGCAGGTATAAGTAATTGGTAATTAAAACTTCTTGAATTCCTGAGTCAATTTGGACGTTAATTTAATTATTTTAAGCAGGTTGTGGCAAATGCATTTACAGTGTATTTGTTGACAATCGAGGGTAAAGCGTGTTATTCTGAACATAAATGTAAAACAACTAACTTATAAGTATTTATTGCAGCTGTAAACAAAACTAAATTAATTAGTTGTAAGTTATTTGCCTTTACCTTACTTAAAGATAGTAATTCGTGGAAAATATTCGTTTTCTTTCTTCAGAAGAAAATTACATTGATATCATAATACTCGATGATTTACTTCCATAACTAGTTGATCAACTAGATAGAAAAAGTCCCCTTTTAATTTATAGGGCCCTTAAAATGTATATCTTTTTTCGCTTTTTGGTATTTCACGGTTAAGAGATGAATTAAGACATTTAATTAGAATCTTTAATTATACAAATTCTTACAAAAAAAAGTAAAGCCTCCACATCTTATTCGTTTAAATTATAAGCCAATTTACAAATGCCGAACATGAATACAAATATCCCCATTTAATATACCGATTGTACCGATGGAATTACAGTAGCCGACAAATAACTTAAGTATATGCTAAGATGTGTAATTTAAAAATATAATTGTTAATGTTATACGTGTGTATGCAAATTGTACCTGCCATTCGGGCAAGACGGCATCTTTTTTTCGAGTTAGCTTAATTAGGTAATCGTACACGAACGAACATTAATGGCCATTAATTTGCTCACTCTACGAAATTCGAATATACAATACTTGAGATATTTTCTACTTGCGCTTAATAAAACAAACGAAACCAAATCCCGAGCACCGATTGTCAGATTGTTTGGGCAGGGGTCTTTGCTCTCGGGGATCACTCTCAGTCTCCATCGAGCAGCGATCACGGAAGCATGGCGAGATCAGAGCGCGGTTCGAGGCTCCTTATCGGCATCACTTGCTGGGTGCTGTTCTACGGTCTTATCTGTCTGGTGAGTGACTTCGAGTTGATTAGATAGCGCATTTATTGATTTTTTTCGATTGCCATTGACAGGCTCTGGCTGATTCCGCTCAAATCCCAGAACGATCTGCGGCTCTGATCGGATCCACAGTACAGGCGGTGGAGAGACTCTTCAATCAGGTGTTATACTCCACCATTGAGGATGCACGCCAGAGACTTCCGCACCTGAATGCCAGTGAAACCATCGATAGGCAGTACTTCGAGGAACTGGACTTGATTGCGGGAAATGAAGACTACTACAGCACTGCCTACTACATCTTCGCCTGGATCAACAGCGATTTGATGTCCCACAAAACTCCGGATAAACTGCTCGTTGAAGTTCTGCCGGTCGAAAAGGTAGCCATTCGGAACTTTTTCGGCAAGGTCAAGGTTCATCTGACCAAATATCTGCGCCAAAGTCGTCAGGAGAGGCCACAATTGGTTGCCAACATCACACGATGGTCCACCGAAACAGAGGACAGTCTGATCATGACCTACCTGGAGTTCCCGCAAAACCTCCAGGGCCAACTTCCTGAGATCCATCTGATGGACTACACCAAGTTGGCCCAGGCTCTGATGCAGGGCTTGTCCAGGGGGATTTGGTCGAATTTATAGTAAAACTCTTAAGATGCCAGCCTAAATATTTAAGAAATCAACACAATTAATTTAAAACAAGTTGATAAACAGAATAATTCACTAAGACAATTCGATTTCAATTGCAAGACCTTTTTTGTACTCTCTTTAGTAAAAGAATACTTTAATAATTCGTTTATTTTTTAGTTTTTAAGTTACATTTTTTTGGTTGTTTTTAGGTAAATAAACAAATACTTAAAGCATAAAAAAACTAGCTATTGAATTCGTTTTCCAAGATTTTTGGGTTTTACCCATGCTAACATGGAACCCACCTTCTGTCTCATTACTTTTCGTTTGATTTAGAACGCGTTAAACCACAATTGAAACTGAACACAATTAATTAAGATTATTACTGCAAATATACAATTATTGTTCTCTTTAATGGTTTTTTTGGTGCTTGGTTTTATTTGTTTTACTCTTGTACTATAAACTCTGAATTATCCTGCGGAGTTGTAAACTTGCGTAACATGCGGAATCTATCACCTGTGTGAAATAAAGATATAAACATGACCTAAGCAATATACGCCTATATAATTACGAAATATATGATTTCCTCCAAAATTGAAATTTAAAATACTAAGGGGCAGCATTTGTCTAAACGCTTTTATCACGCTCACCGAATTCTACACCGATAAAAAAATGGAATTCGCAAATTAAATATCTGACTATTGAATTCAAAATGTTATATTAAAACTTAAATTAAATATTAAATCATAATGTCAAATACAATGCATATTAAATTACTAAAATATTCTAACAAGCGTGGAAAATATTAAATTTAAAATAGTTCCTAATTCGTTCAAATCCGAATTTTATTTAAGTTTAATATGGCCTAAATTTGATAATAAATAAATTTAAATAACTAAAATCCGCATTAAATGAATATCAAAGCGAAAATTATTTAAAATGAATACGAAATAGAGTATTTGATTTTACTGCGTTTTTTTCTATTATATAGACTGATGATACAGTCTGCTGCCGATCTCACGATCACTGACTATTTATTATGGAGGCGTTCTGTTTTTTATTCTCAACGTTCAGAATTAATATAAAAGCAGGCTGTTTTTGTAAAGTACGCTACAGTTTGGTGACAATGGCTAACAGAATAGCTTGGACTTTTATATTTGCATTGGCTGCCCTGCAGTCATCGGTAAATTCATTTAACTTTAAACATTTCTTGGGACTAAGGTTTTAATTTTATCGCAGTTCGCAGCACCTCCAGCAAGCAGATGGCAGTTACAATTCGAGGTAACCAATGAACTCTTTCAAATGGTAACTGAGGCATTGGAAGAGTTGAGAAATGTATTTCAACTGGTTATAGACGAGGCCGAACTTATTTTACCCCCAAACACAAAAAGTCTTATTCTTACGGAGCTTAAAGAATTGGTTGCGGTTGTAGATTCGCTGAATTTCGACGACTCTTTGGAGCTGAGCAACCTGGAGGAGGCTCTCGAGGAAATGCAAAGTGTAATGGAAATCGCAGACAGCAGGGAATTCGAATCTGAGGCGGACGAGGTGGTCCTCCAGTTATTCATACAGCATGGCGTCGATGACTTGGAGAAGATTCTGGAATTAAACTTGGAAACTACTCTGAAAGCAATCGAGATGAAGGTGCAGAACTATTTGAGCACATGGTCGGACAGTCGGTTGGCCAGAAATTCGGAATTAGTTAAGCAGTTCAAAGACTTCAAGAACGAGGAGGATGTCTACGAGAAATTAGATAAGTTGTCAAATTTTGATTTATTTAATTAAAAATTGAACAATATGTGTGAAACATATACCATATACAAATTGGCTTGTAATATTGGGTCCATTTTTTTATAATTTTAATGATGATACTCTTTTCTAAATTTCCGAAAAATGACTGCAGAAAAGCGTCCAAAAAGCTGCAGCTATAATTCTATAACTTTTCTTATAGATATCCCATTCTGAAGTTTTATATCTTAAAAGTCTTGTGGCTTTGGTCTCTAAAAATCTTCATAAAAAAATTGGTTTGTAATTTTGGATCCATATTTGTAGTTTTTATGATGTAACCCCTTTCTAAATTTCTGAATAATTTCCGATATCTGTCTCCCTTTGGCGTAGCGGATGCCAACTGAAGATGATAACTATTCAACTAAAAAATTACAAAGTATATGGTTTTCACCTACCGACAATGCAAATACAAAGGTGAATAATCCAGAGGGCATAATTTGTATAAGTAGTGTCACGTTCGGCACAGGCAAAAAACAAATTGTAATTTGATGCCGATCTCACAAATACTAACTTTTTATTAAACAGGCTTGTTTTTGTTTACAACTTAGTGTACGAATGACGTAAGAAATGAGGGATTTATTACTCTCGGCAAGGTATCGAAGGTCCATCGGAACCTGATATCACAATTAGAATGAAATTTAAATTAAAAATTTAAGAAAACAAACATTTAAAGTACTGATTGACTGATCTTTGTGCTTTTTTTATCTATGAAACAAAAAACGTCTTAACGAGCTAAACAAAATCGTAACGATCGACTTTCAACCCACAAAAGCATTCGACTAAATAAATACACTTTTTACAATTTTCAGATTTGTCCTTCTCCAACAAATCTTTTCAACCGTAAAAGAGAATTTTGAAATTTTTGATTTTATTGTTTATTTAATAAATAATGCACAATTCATATTTTAGACGCAAAATTCTAATTTTTGAAGTCTTGCTAATGCAAATTAAATCGTCAGTAACTAGTGATACTGGAAGTCAAAAATCATCACTTATCAGCAAGTGGTGAGAGGGGGAAAATCGATTTGTTTCTATTACGAGCTTAGTTTTTTATTTTTTATAGTAAATTTTCGAAGGCTATTCGAATGGGGATTTGCTAAAAGTTACGGAAAGAAGCTCCGAGTCCATCGCGGGAATCGTAGACATTCCGCTCGACCTGTGGCGGTCCTCTGCCATCGGAGGTGTAGCTGTAGGACTCCGTGCGGTAGAAGTTGTTCGAAGAGCCTCCAGAAGTAATAGGACCATTGCGACCATTGGGACCACTCTGACCCAGGGAAGAACTAGGACCTCCAGAAAATAAAGGGATCATGGAGTTACCTAATGGTACGGGGATCTGCAAAGGAGACAATAAGTTTACGAAGGCAATGAACAAGATATAATGTTCTTACCGATCTAGATACCCACGAAGGTGTGTCTTGGCTGCCGTATTGCGGTTCAGCAAAGCGGTTCGGGAAGTTCGGTGAATTTATGAAGGGCCTATTGTTTAAGCTGCTGCCTCCACGAAATTGTCCCCTGGGGTCTTCACTGTAGTCCGTTGGGAAACCATTCCCGTATTGGGGCGGCTGAAAGAGTTTAATCATAAATCACCGGGTTCTACTATTACAAATTTACACCAACTCTGCGAATAGGGCCAATATTCCCTTGTGAGTTCTGAGGAAAATATGGTCGAGGTGGAGGTCGAAATCGGTTGGAACGGACGTCTTCGTCTTCATAAGAGCTGGTTACTTCTTCCACTTCTGCGCTACCTCTCTAAAGAGATAATGATATTAAGAAAATTAGTAAGCAACAGGAATATATATATGTATATATACATATATATCACCTCTAGAAACTCCACTCCATCATCCTCTGGATCAACCAATGTTGTGCCATTTCCGTTTAAGAAAGATCTATTGGAAATCTTTTCGTTGTTTGACTTTTCTCCTACTGGTTTGAACAGATGCGTGGGTATATTAGATGTATCGCGTGCAGTTCTCGCCTGAAAATATGAAACATTGCGTTTGCATATAACCTTAGATACGAGAGCAAATCAACTTACCTTGGGCTGTGGCAGCGTGTGGCAAAGCTGAAAGATTTCAGAGGCATTGAAGTGAAAATTCTACAATCCGTCGACTTTAACTCACCCCCTGGGCGAAGAACAGATAGGCAAATAGAACGAATTGGAGCGGCAACATCTCGACAGATCTCGACAGCCACTTACGTCTCGAGCTTCCGACGATCGACGGAACTATGAGTTGACTGGGTGGAATGCGCTGCAATTAAATGCACCGACGATCTCAACCCGCCCGACTGGAAATCACCAAGGTGAGAGAGTCGGGGCCCGGGGTTATCAGCCCGGGGAATACACGACAAGGAAATTAGAAATCAGAAATCAATAAGTTAATTCGCTCATATGCGCAAATTCGCCATAATCGTTTTTTCGAATCTAATCTTGAAACGAGCACATGAAATACTGGCAGCAAAGTTAATGCAAAATTTAGGGCTAACACTTTCTCAATGAATTAATCAAAAAACTTAGAAATGAAATGAAAAGTCTAAATTTTTAAAATAGAAAATCTTTTTCCATCATTCTTTATAAAGAAATTTTTTTTAACAGGAAAGCAATAGTTGCTTTAAATTAAATTTTTTTTAAAGGTATACAAGAAAAGTAAAAGACTCAGAAATTATAATTTAAAGAGTATTTAATAATGTGTTAGGAAGTACATTTCAAGAATGAAATAATATAAATTCAACAATAACTTTCTTGACTCAAGGTTTTTTTCACAGTGTTTAGCACGGAGTATTTAGTAGCGCCCATAGCCGTAGGACGAACCGTATCCGCCACCCGGTCGCGGATAGCTGGGTACAGTGATCACTGGTCTTCGGGGAACGAGGTAGACTTGGGGGTAGCCGTATCCTGGTGGTTTCAGAGCCACATCCTCATCCTCTTCCTTGTTGTCTTCGCCGGACTTGTCCTTGTGCGCATCCTCGCCGGATTCATCATCGTCGTGATTGTGAGGGTGTCCAAATTGGGGCCTAGGACCGTATCCCTGGAAGCTGGGCCAATGGGGCTGGTGGAAAACAGGTGGCTGGTAGGGGGAGTAGGGCGATCTGAAGGTCGGGTACGAGGGGTATCCACTCAGCTCGGGGCTGTCCTTTTCCTTTTCCTTGTCTCCTTTGGGAGTGGCCGAAGCGTCCGGCGGAGGTGCAGGTTTAGGTCCCGTTGGAGTGAACACAAGTCCAGGATAGGGATAAGGATAGGGATGCGGGTGCGGCTGCGGCTGCGGATAGGGATGGGGGTACAGCTGAGGGTAGGGGTACGGATGGGGATGTGGCTCGTGCTTATGAGGCTTGGGAGTCGTCGTAGGCTCTGGAGTCGTCGTTGGCTCTGGAGTCGTCGTTGACTTTGGAGTCGTCGTGGTGGTGGTGGTTGTGGTGGTCGGCTCCGGAGTGGTGGTGGACTCTGGCAGGGCAGAGCCATCGTTGTTTTGCTGCAAGCCATCGTCCAGCTGGGACAAACCATCGTCGGGAGCAACGGTGCCCTCACCTTCCTGCTCCAACTTGGGCGTGGTGGTTTCCGGCTGAGGAGTGGTCGTTGTGGTCGTCACCTTCTTGTGGGGATCATGATGGGGCTCGTAGTTATGCGGATCCTGGGGCTGGTACCGGGGTGGATGATGGGGCGGCAACTGGGGTGGATGTTGGGGCTGGTAAGCTGGAGGACTATGTGGCTCCGCCAAGTTTGCATCATCGCCAGTCTCCTCGTCACTGTACACTGAGGCATCGATTTGTTTTTTAGCCTCCTCGAGCGACAACTGGGCATAGCTCAGCGCCAGAAGCTAGAATTAGGTAAAATATATAATTAGTAAATAAAAACGCTAATGAACTGTTGTGGTCTTGTCAAGATCTGGCACCCACCTGACTGATGAGCAGGAGTTTGATGAACATCTCAATCGATTAACTGCAGCTGGCAAAGGCTAGGCGAGAACTGCTTGGTATCTGCCGGTCGGAGCCAACTTATATAGTTCCCCAGAATCGCCCACAATTATGGAAATAGGTAAGCCCATAATTAAACTAAGCCCCAGAGCCATCAGCAATTTCTCTCTCTCTCTCGCAAAAACCCGTCGGCATCAGGTGTTGGATGCGTCTGCCCGGAATTTCCCGGACTGCGTTCATCATGCTTACAGAGATCGGCGACTATCAGTTGGTCACAAAGAGAATTTGTTCTGCCCGTAAAAACAGGCAGCAACCCATCCATCCAATCGATTTCGAGCAGCTGTAATCAATTCAACCTGCGCAGCGACTATAAAAGGTGGCTTTGCCCAATTGGCTCGGCTGGTTTCGCCAAAGTATGTGTATCAGGTGTGACGTTGATATGGCGATACCTAAACTTAAACTGGTGAGGGGTATTTCCTCTTTTTTGCACACATAATCGCATATATTCTTTGTCTCCAAGATCGGAGTTGTTCTCTTCTTGGTAGCCGGTCTAGAGGCTCAGGAAACCCCTGTCACTACGACTGAGTCAGCAGCAACCACAGAATTGACGGGGGAAACTTCTCCAGTGACCACCGCAGAAACCACCACGCCTGATGAGACCACCATTACTGAATCTACCAAGCAACCCGTAAAAGTTCCAGAAAATGCAGGAGACCCATTTGTTAAGCCAGGAAAACATAGACCAGGTCTACGACACGTTCGAGCGCACGATGGCTTCCACAATTTGAAGACTGAGAAGTATTGGGCCCACTGGAACGACGCTTTCACATCAGCTCTTATGACCCCTTGAAAATCGTGACCCTATGTCTTACTTTTAATGGTTATTCTAATAAAACAAAATCCAGGAAACAAGTCCAGAGTCAATCTATTTTCCATTTTAGAGAGACTTATAGTCAAAAAAAAAAAATAATGCAAGTTCACAAATTTGTGGTTAAAAACACATGTTTCAAATTTTAGAATATAGAAATAGAAATTTTTTTTTAAGTTTTGAGAATTTTTATAGTTTTTTCCCTAAAAAAAATTTTTTTTTTCAAATGGTAAACATTATTTTCTTATTATTTTAAGAGCGATTTTTGGAATTTTACTGCGGGATTGAATAAGACTCTGTTGGTAGGTAATTTTACTAAAAAAAAGGGAGACACCCTATACGATATTACTCAGAAATTGAAACATGACGAATTTAATTAGATGACACGCAGTTTTTTTTTGTCACTGTAAAAAAAATATTGCCAAGTAATAGTTTTTGTGTTCTTTTGCCTACAATGCGGTTGTTGGTTTGTTGTTTTGCTAAATAAAATTCTAAAGAAATTGAATGGGAATTTTGATGCTTTAATATTTATATTTTTTATGGAAAAGGAAAGCCGCTGAAGACCCGTTGGCAAGGTCGAAATTGCATGCAATCTCTGTTGCCCCGTTACAAAAATCATTCACAAAGCTACGTACATATAAAAATGTCTCAGTTTTCATCAAACAATGGGAAGCGGAAACCTTGTCCATCTATATGTGTGGATCACTGATTAATTGGCCATTTTAAATGTTCCGCATGTATAATTGATACATCGGGTAGCCTTCACTCACTAAACACTTCATGAAAATAATTCCCTTAGTTACAAATCAGTTTTTCAATGTAATTGTTACTAAGCAATTGTTTTAAATTTCCATTCATAAAAAAAAATGAACTTTCCAAATAATTACTTGGCTATTAGTTACTGGAATCTGTTTTACCATTCTAATTAAAAAGAAAGTTTTGATCATACAAAGCTTAATTGCAACAAAATAGATTAAATACAATTGAGCTTATTGCAAGTATAAATAAATAAATCTATTTTATCACAATAATAAAAAAAAAACTTTAAATAATACATAAATTAATAAAAAGATCATATAGTTGTAACAAAATATTTTCAATAAAAAAAGTTAAAAAGACTGCACGGCATTTGTACTAACAAATGGTATATCATTCCAATGGATTAAATCGAATCTCTGACACTAGAAATCAATTGGTTCCATTCGTACTTCATGTCCATATTAAATTGTGTAAAGTTGTCACTTTAAAAATGACTGTAATGGGATCAAGACTTAATCACTTGGCGATCCTCGGATGTCTGCTATTTCTCCTCGTCTACGTGGACTGCAGAGCCAACCAGGAACACTCGCCGAATGACCGAAGCCGTCACCAGCGTTCCCACAATCTCCATAGACCGCCATATGAGGGATATGATTGGTACAAACAGTAAGTACTGGATCCGTCCGAGTTCAAGGATACATATTCTTGCTATGCCTTCGTACGCCTTTCAGCTATGAACGAGACTCGGATCCGGGAAAGGACCCGAATTACGCCAAAGCCAGAGCGGGCAACGAGAAAACGCTGGGAGATTCTCCACCCAAAGATCTAAAAGAAACAAGGTATAGCATTCCTTAATTGCGATTATCCTGTAATCCAAGAATTATTTCTCTTTAAGGAAAACACATCTTTCTCAAAAAGAGAAGGACGAGCTCCAGGACTGGACCTCTTCGGAAGAGAAAAAAGGCCATGGCCATAACAGCCAGAAAATTGTTAGCAATGCTAAAAAAATCGTGTCCGTGATCAAGGCGGTAAAAGAAAAGGGTTATATGTAGGTTGCACCCATTATCGTTATATTTCGAGTGATGACACTTAATCGTTACTTTATTTTAGAACCGAAGCAGAGAGATCCCAGTTGACGCCTGAACTAAAACCAGCAGCTTTGAAAATTTACCGAAAGTTCAAGGACAAAATTAAAGATAATCCAGATTTCTACCATGCATTGGAGGTCGTACTGCACGAGATAATGAAAACATCAAAGGGTCTAGCCTCAAAACACAGGCGCTCCAGGCATCATAAACACAAACCCGAACCGAATTTGTAGATGCACGTTTGTAGCTATAAGCATACGATTTGCAAACAAATAATAAAGGGTTTTATAATCTATAGTCTCTCTTACTGTTTCTGAATAAGGGACTTCATTACCAATGATCATGCAGATTGATTGCTTGATTTTCAGAAACTGAACATGATGGTACTTTCAAGTTGGTTTAGTTTAGGCAGCAGCCATAACTTTAATTTCGACTATCTTGCTTCCACTTAATACACATAGAAGTCGGCTAACTTAATCACACACAAAATAGCGGAATAATTAAACGGTAGCGGACTTAGTTCTTCCACTTATTGTTCTCGTAGTCCCACTTGGAGGTCAAGCCGGTGACGGGGTTCATTTCCAGGTCGATGATGCGCTTCAGCTGGGCCTTCTGGTGCTCCTCGTCGAAGGTGACGGGCAGCTCATCGTACACTGCAAAGAATGGGCTGATTAGCAAGGGTATACCACTATGGAGTATCCAACAAGAACTCACCGAAGAGGTTCATCAGGACGGCCACCCAGATGGCAGCGGCGCTGAAGAGCAGGGCAACGCCCAGATGCAGTTTCCACTCACCGGTTCCAGCCTGGACCTCAGCGATGGTCTGGCAGAAACTGGCGCGGTACAGGGCCTTGATCTCCTCGCGGCTCAGCTTCTTCCAGTCGCCCTGCTCCTTGGTGCGCAGCGCGTTGATCTCGTTGTTGGGCTCACGGAAACGGACGGCGGGCATGGGGTAGTCCACGCGATCTGCGTAGCAGGCGGTGCCGTTCCAGCCGTAGCCAACGATCTCCCGCTTGCCGATCTTGTCCAGGGTGTGGACGCCGACCACGCTGCCCACCTGGGCGCTCTTGGGCAGCTGGGAAGCCAGCTGGCGCAGAACAGCGCTGTTGATTAGTCTCAGGGCCATTTTCTCAAGGAATCTGCAATCGAAGATATAGTTTATGGTTAGTTTATAGGTCTATGTGTCAATTTCTCAAGGGGTCTGCAATGAAGATGATAAGACTCGTACCACTATTTGCAGAAATCGTACCACTATTTGCCAATAACAAATACCGAGAAACAAGTGAATTTGAACCATTTTACTTATAAGGGCCATCAATTACGTTCGAGTTATAAAAGTTTTACTTTATATAAAACTATGTTAGTCAGACCCAATTTCTCACGGGGTCTGCGATGGGACATATAGAACTCAGTCAGTTGGAGGTTATGTAACAGCTGGAGGACTACGTGATAACTGATTAAATCCATTTCCGTAATGCGCCGGTTATTCAAAACTCCAAGTAAGTCTCTATGTCGTTTATTTCCCTCGATTTCGTGCTGTGGGTGGCATTATAGCCGCATAATTTTCCCATTTTTCATTGCCACCACAGTTGTTGTGTAATCGGTGGGCGGCTTAATTTGACGGAAAACCGCTTGTAAACCGGTGGCAGCAGGGTTTTATACAACAACATGGCATGTGCATCTTCCTTATCACTAATTATATTCGTTTGCTCACTGATTTTATCCAATTTACGCTATTTAAACTTATTTTCTTTGCACTTTTACCTACTTCGACTCGCTGCTAAATAATCAGTGTGACCGTGGTGTTATCGATAAAATATACCGTCCAGCTATCTAAAATATACTTTTATACCATTTTGTATATTTTAATATACCATTAATTGTTTTAAAATTTTAAAAGTAAAATTGTCAGTGAAATTTATGTTTGTATATCATTGTTTTTAATCTTAACAAATTTGCTTGCAAACGTTGCAAAAAAAAATCTAGCTACTTATTCGCTGTTTATTAGATACTATCGATTATGCCAGAAAAAAAAACCAATCGATGCATGCTGTGACCCCAGTCACTTCACAAATATCGATAGTCGGGAAGAAATATCGAAAAATGGCGGATTATTCAAATAAAAAGTATGGATTTTCCTCTTGTGATTGAAAACCCAGTCAACAACGCAATTTTTTCCGCTGATAAGAAAATAAGCTACAAGTTATGTTTGATATTATATTTTATTTTGATTTGATGTCATATCTCATAAATGCACACATTTAAATTAGACAGAGACACATAATTTGCTTTATCGTATCATATAGTTTTACTGCTTGTATTGGTAGTATATGTTTTTACCTTCCGATTGGGTTCTGGTGTGTCGGTAATTTAGCTATTTTATCGAGGATGGGGCATTACGTATTCACTTTCGCGTATTCCTGTGTTTAAGCGCGGCTTGGCATAATAAATATTTAAATGGTATTTTGCTTCATTGTGTTTTATAAATATGCAATATGTTTGTAACAATATTTAATGATAATTACGCAAATAATTAAACTAAAGTGAAAGCTTTTTCCATTAACTTCAACTATACATATCATGTAAATTGGTAGTAGCAAAAACTTAAAGCTACATTTACAGTAGAGTTAGATATTAGTTGCAATTTAATTATATATGATCTGCCGGCTCTGGGCTTGGATAAAGGGTATAAAAAGTCTAAACCGCCGGACAGTTTCACACACTTAAGCATATGGGGATTTAGTTTGTGTTATATATATGTACAATTTCCTTTCTATGGATTTACTTTTCTTTAACATTTCATGTTAGCTAAGGTTTGTTCTCTCAAGTTCGGGCATTTGGATACGCAGCTGGGGCCAAGATTTTATTTTTAGGTTGGTAGTGCTTCGATATGAGGTTTTTTTTGGGCTTGGACAATTTGCATTTTTAACAAGTGCGCTAAAAAGTGCAATTTACTCTAGATGGCAGGGGGAGTGGTTAGAAATGGGTTGGTTTCTACGGTGCAAATGGAAAGCTCTTGGAACTGCTTTTGAACCTCGCCGCGAAAGTAGTGCAAGAAGTCTCATTTGTGCGGGGAAAAGTAGTAAGCTGGATTAGTTCTCGGCCAGCGCGTTCCTCTCAGTTAGTCCATCTGAATTTGGCATGTAGTGAAGTGGTTCGATCATATGGCTTTCTACTCGGCTCCGGCGGAACTGTCGGGCGTGACATTCGAGTCCAGACTGGCGCAATCGGACTCCTGATCCTGAGCCTCCGAATAGTTGGCCGCCTCCTGCAGTCGCATCAGCATGTTGAGCTGTCGATTAAGTCGTTTAATTAACTAAAAGTTATAGGAAAACAACTATTAACCTACCAAGGGATCCTGTTGCTCCCCGTTGGTCAGGGCCACGCCCTCGAGTCCCACATCCTCGGCATTGATCTGTCGCAATGGGGGCACCGAGTCCGGACCGTAGGGCCAGGGATAGGAGTTCCGGATGAAGGCGGAGGGATCGTTCCAGGCGCCACCTCGTCTTCCATAGAGCTGGACACCCTCACGAACGGCCTCCACGAGATACGGCGACAGGTGGTAGTTCCAGATGTCCGTGAACCACACCTGCGAGTCCTTCAGATCCAGCGGACAGGCGAGGAACAGCCTCGGACCGATGGTCACATCGCTGGAGCTGTGCACCTCCAGAAACCGATTGATGTGCTGCCACACGGAGGGCAACCAGGCCAGCACTGCCGCAAGTTCCGGCTGCGGATGCTGCGTCTGCAGCTCCAGCTGGAAGAGCCGACGTCTCAGGAAGCGTCCGAGGAATCCCTTCACGGGCTCCATGTGATTAGCCGTGAGTACCTGGCATATATAAGTATGGTTAAATTAATTTTCAAGTGATTTGATAGACTTAACAAACGCTTACCCATCGGAAATTGTGGTGCAGCTGCAGGTTGGTGGTGTTGCACGTGGCCTGCGACATGGTGCCAATGATGCAGGGCAGCTTGTTGGCCGGTCCGGCGCTCAGGAGACAGGAGAAGACATCGCCCAAGGCGGAGGCATGGTGCAGGTTGTCCAGAATGATCACAGAGGGAAGCTCCGAGGCGCCGTTGGCAATGGCCGCCTGTTCGGCAATGTGGCCCAGATACTGACGCAGATCCTTCGAGGATTTGTGGTCAACACTGGAGGAACAGAAAGATGGGTTAATTAACTAAAACGGATAATGGATAATGGATAATAGATCCCTGCACGATTGAACTCGAAGAGCCCCCAGCCTATATCAGCTCACACAAATGTTCGATTCATTGGATTAGGTTGAAATAAAGGACTCGTTGAAATCATGAAATTAGAAAACTTCAAAATAAACTTCGGGATATATTTTCATTGTTATTATATTTATTTTCTATGATAGATGCCGACAATATCTACTGCTGTATTTAGTTGCTTTAAATATGAAAATATTAAAATACAGCATCTTTACTATTTTCGAAATTAATTTTAAAATGTGATCATTTAATTTATAATAATATTTAACTGAAATAAAATTAATATAAAATCAAAAAAGAACTGTTTTAAATCGTGTATTTCCCACATTTTATTCAAGTATTATGTATTAAATTTTGAATTCAATAATCAGATATTTACATTAGTCAATAGTAGTAGTTCATAAAATGTGGAAATCAATAGTCAGATGTTTAGTACATTATTCGTTCCCGCCTTTAATAATTTATAGAACTAATTTAACTAAAGAATTCTCGCGGATACAAAAAATAAAAGATTAAAGAGTTTTTCAATAAATATATAAAAGTGTTATAATAAAAGCTTTTTTTTGCCTGACTAGCAAGTATTAAACTATTTTGGTTCAACTAAGGGTGAGCTTAATTTTATTGTTTGTTTGTGATCTACTCGAGCTGAGCTTTTTTAAACGAGTCAATAAAAATCAGTTGATTCTAAACTCAACTTTCGGACAATATTTAAGAAACTTACTTGAACGTGGCAATGGCCTCCGAGGGATTGCCCCTGGCCGCGCGGGCCACCAGGAACTCGGCCAGTCGCCGGGCCAGATAGGACTTGCCAGTGCCACTGGGGCCGCAGAGGATCAGGCGGCGGTGCTCCGTGAGCAGACTGATGTACCGGTGGACGATGCTGCGCGGGATGAGGCTGTCGAAGGCCAGGCTGCCCACGCCCTGCAGGCAGATGTACAGGGTTCGCACACTGCCCACGATGTAGCCGCAGGGCAGCAGCTCCGGGAAGCCCATCTCGGGACCCCGCTTCGCCTCGCCCAGATGGTACGAGGTGATGGAGTCCGTGTTGAGGCCCAGATTGGTGCCCGGATCGATGCGTGCCACATAGTCCTTGAAGGTCTTGCGCACCACGTAGTCCAGGTTTTGCCACGTCGTCTTGCCGGATATGTAGGTGCAGGCGATGACGAACTCGTTGCAGCTGGCGCTGGCGCTGGCATAGTTCGACTTCCGCTCGCTCTGCGATTGCGCATCCGCCTCGTGGCCATTGGCATAGAAGCCGTCCAGCTCCTGCAGCTCCTCGCAGTACTTGGCAAAGGCCTCCGGCTGGCCCAAATAACACGCAATGGCTATCTTCTTGCCGTCGCACACATCGGCCAGCTCCTCGGTGGCACTGGCCATGTGCACGGGACTGGCCAGCGGAGCGGCCTCCAGGGCGGGCGGTGGTGGCGTCAGGTCAATGTGGGTACTGGGACTCAAGGGTGCCGCACCCACGCCATTCGGAGCCGGCGGCGGCGGAGGTTCGGGGGCCGGAGCCGGTGGCAAGCACTCCTCCTCCAGTTCCAGTTCCTCGCTGAGACGAGCCGGCAGTTCCATGGGCGGGCGATTGCTGCCATCCGCCAGGGAGTATCGACGGGACACCTCCGAGCTGCCAGCCACCGAACCATTCGGACTGATGGCCTGGCCCAAGCTGGCCTCCGATCCGGCCAGCGATCGCGTGGTCACCAGCTTCTGGAGCCGCTCGTTGTTGTGCTTCAGCGACATCATCTCGGCCCGCATCTTGTTCATCATCTCCTTGAGGCTCTCCAGCTGGGAGGCCGAGCTCAAAGCCTCCAGCCGTATGTCCGTGAGCACAAGATCCTTCTCGCGCAGCTGCTTCTTGAGTTCCTCCACCTGCAGTTCCTCCTGCTCGATGGCATCGATGGGCTTGGCATTGTCGATCAGAGTGAGCGTCTTGGCGGGACTGCTCTGTTTGCTGTTGGGCAGCGGAGGAGCCGGCTGGGTGGCCAAGGAGGCCAGGCCCAAGGGCTCACCATGACCATTGGCCAGGGATAGCTTACCGGATGCGGATCCGGATCCGGAGCCCAACTCTGAGTGATTGCCGTGATGATGGTGATGGCCCACATGACGACTCGTCTTCGAGATCTTGGCGTTGCGGGAGAAGGCCTTGGTGAAGCTGCTCCTCAGCCAGCCCTTCTTCTTGTTGGCCTTGTTCTTGTCCTGCGCCGCCGAGCAGCCGGAGCTGATGGAGTTCAGGGAGCACATGGAGTCGGTGCTGTGCTGTCGCTGCATTCCCACGGTCATCGAGCCATTCGGATTGGGGTTGATGGGGCGCTGTGAGCCGGAATGCGGTGGCTTTTGGTCTGACCCCGCCTGACCCTGCCCCTGACCTTGACCCTGCCCCTGACCTTGACCCTGCGTCTGCACACCCATGCTCTGCATGTGGGCCGTAGTCAGGCCCGCCTGGATGGACTGTTTCCGCAGCAGCTCGATGGTCTGGCGCATGTCCGTCAGCTCGCCGTCCTTGCGTTCCGCCGTCGCCGTCAGTTGCTGCAGTCGGTTGGTCATGTTGGACAGCGACTGCTCGAAGGCGGTCACCACATGGGCCT